CAGGCTGGCCTTGAACTTGCCACCATCCTCCTGCCTCAGCCTCCCAAGTGCTAGGATTACAGGCGTGCACCACCACACCCGGCTACATGATATATTTTGATTTTCCTTTTTTCACAATCTCCAGCTAGTCTTTAAAGAGGCCAAGAACATGAATTGGGGCTATGCCTCAGGCTGGTGGCTTTTTCCTCACTGGCTCTGACCTATCAGTTTGGCACCCTGGGGAGTCTGATCTTGTGCCTACGTGCCACCCTCTACACACTTCAGACTCAGATTCCATCTTTCCTAAACTTCACGCAGCCCCCAGACTTACCACCTGCCATAGTGCCTTCATAATAAACTCTTCACTGATGCCAAGATACCCCAGAGCCTGCAGAAAGAGGGGTAAAGGGAAGGGAAGAGAGCGTGGAAAGGACCCCAGGAGTTAACATCCCCCAGACACAGCTGGAGTTTATATTTAGAACACTGTCCTTGTTCCCACCACTCTAGCTTCTTGTTTCTTTCCAGCTGGGCCAGCTCCTAGGTGTAACTGCCCTTCTCTGTCTTTGCTGGTTCTCACCTGTGTTGCATAGAACTGATCATTTTCTCTAGGAGATTCCAAGGTTTTTGTGAGCTCCTACCCATCCAAGGCAGCCAGTACAAAGAAAAAAAGAAATATAAAACTTCAAACTGAAGAGAGCTCAGCCAATCTGATCCCCCGCCCCTTGCCCCAGGTTTTGGAGGGAGGGATTAAGGCTGAAGGTTGGTGTGAACTTAAGGTAAAGGCACCCACAGGTAGGGAGTCTCCTCATGCTCCTTCCCGCCATGGTCCTGACCTTTAATCTTTGCCACTTCAGATGATCCCTGGTAGGCTCTAAGGTCCCAGATCCCACCTGAGATTTTGTAATCAACTTGCTCATTGGGAGACGGAATTTTTGACTACTATCTTTGAGGTCCCTGTGTGAAAAATTGTACAGGAAGCATCTGTCCCCTTGTTTCTTCTCTCCTCGGTCATTGCTCTATCCCTGCCACAGGACCTCAGCCCAGATCAGAGATAGGACCAGAGTAAGGCACAGGAAGGCTCAGTGATAGAATCTAACCCCTAACCAAGCTGCCCTTCTACCCCAGGGTCTGCCCTTGGACCTGTGAACTGACAGGGGCCCCCTTCCTGACCCCTCCCTTGCCCTTCCTCTTTTTCACGAAGATTTGGAGAATCTGGAGGTGGACAGAGCATACTTAGGATGATGGCCTCTCATTTTCAGTAACATTTTCTGGGCCTCTCGTTCCTTTCGCTGGTCATACAGGGTATGCCAGTGTGTGTAGATCTCAGGTTTCTTGGAGTAGCAGTAAGGGACTGAGTGTGGCTTGCTTGGGTGCTGCCTCCAAAAGTCTGGACTTAGGGGAAGCTCTTCCTTTGGCATCTAGGGGTAAAAGTGGCAGAGATATCAGGATTCCCTAGGCCCTTACCTGAGTGTTGGGAGTCAGAGGAGGGGGAGTGGAGGGTTGAGAGGGTGAGATGAGACAATCTTTAGCCTCTTATTCTGGCTAACGTCATAGATACCACTTAACCTGTTATGTAACCTGGGCAAGAAGTTATTTCACTCTACCAGTCTTCTCATCTGTTAAATGGTGCTAATAATCCCATTGGTAGTTGTCCCTGTGTAGCCCAGGCCTTGCAGAATTTCTTATATAAGAGGGACAGGCAGGGGCCAGCCTGTGACAGTGGAAGCTCCTGAGGCTTAGAGAATGTGACTTGTCCAAGCTCACACAAAATTAATGGTGGCCTCAGGATTCTGTGAGTTGGCCCTCCTATGTTGACATAGTTTTTAAGTAGAGGTCTTACCTTGTAGCAGGACAAAGGCAGGTGAACAGGAGCCATGACTTTTCTGAATTCTGGCAAGAGGGGTAAGAGTATATGTGTGATACAAATAAGATAGCAGATACAAGGTGAGTTAAAGGATCACTCATTTAGGCATTCATCTATTCAGCATTGGGTATTAATCCCAGGCATTTTACCAGGTACCAAGGAGATAAGTAAGGCCCTTAAAGATCTCATAGTCTTCTAGTGCCCTGCTGCTGTGATCTGTAGAAAAGTAGCAATGCCAGAGCCAGGGAGTGTCCCAGAAATGCTGCCTCAGGCATCATCTCAGACCTACCGAGTCAGGGTCTTCACAGGAACAAGATCCCCAGGTCATTCCTATATAGTTGAAATGTAAGCAGCACGGGTCTGGCAGGTATTCTCAACCTTGCCTGCATATTAGAATTATTTTGGGGAACTTTGAATGTTCCCAAAGCTCTGCATCAGATGAGTAGAATCAGATTCTATGAGGATAGGGCCTAGGCGTGTTAGAAAGAGCTCCAGAAGATTCAGATATCTAGCTGGGATAAAAACCATTGTTCTTGTTCAGTTTCTCAAACTTAAATATGCAGTAACATCACCTGGAGAGCTTGTTAAAACACAGATTTCTGGGACTTATCCCATAAGCATCTAATTCATTGCATTTGGGGTAGGCTCTGATTGTTTACATTTCTAACAGTGCTGCTGCTGCTGCTGCTTCTGGGACCATGTTTTGAGAACCATTGGTGAGACCTGTTTCTTAGTGACTAACAGAGGGAGCAAATGTGGAGATAGATAAAGATAGCATTCCAGAGAGGCAGCTAACCTGGCTGGGAGGATGAGGGAAGGTTTCCCAGACACATAATATACAAGTCAAGTCTCAGTACAGGCAGGAGTTAGCCAGATAGATAAGGGGAAAGAGCACTAGGCGCAGGAACATCTTATGCAAACACTTGGAGGTGTGAGAGTTGGGGTGCAGGTCAGGGTGCGAGTGTCGGAGCAGAAGCTGGGGAGACAGATGTCTTAATTTAAGAGGACCCTGTAAGTCCTGCTGAGGGGATGGAGACTTATCTTGAGGGCTGTGGAACATCAATGTGTCCAAGGCCTGCTGTAAGCATTTGCTGAACTCGCTCAGCTCGTTGCCTGGGATTGGGAGCCAGGTAGCCTTGCTTTTACAGACCTCTGTCCCGGCTCCATTCCTGCCCATTCCGTCCTTACCTTTGGCCCTGTCTGGATATTCCAGCCATGGATACATGAACATTGACCTGGAGATTTCAAACATGTCAACTGATTTTTCATAGGCCATCTTCTCCTGGTGGGGCAAGAGGGAACCTGGGCAATAGGTAGTTTAGGGCTGTGGGGAAGAAGGCACACAGCTAGAGAAGGCGCGTTCTCTGGTGTAAGAGGGACCAGTGAGGTGAACAGACTTCTGAAGGTAGAAGCTTCCAAGTGCTGAACAACCAGATCACCTTGGTAAATAGAACACCCAAGTTCCGTTCTTGAGCCCCACCTCTGGCCTCTACTGGCCTGGGAACCAATCTGGTAGCTTTACATCTCTGAGCTTTACTTTCTTTATCTGAAAAAGTGGGATGGTCATGCTTGTTTGGCTAATTACAGAGTTGTGGCAAGGCATTAAAAAAGAAGTCAGAGCATTTGGGTTTTTCTTAGGATTCGTCAAAGAAACTGGCAGGGAATGGGAAAGCCCCTTTTACACGCACACGCCCTCTGGCAGCAAGAGACTGTATGTATGGTAAGGAGCTGCTTTTTACACCTACTTTTGCATGTGCTATTCCCTGCCTGTCAGTGCTTTCCCTTCCTACCTGTTGAACTGTGGACTAAAATCTTTCAAACTCCATAGAGATATAATTTCATCTCTGAAGTTTCCTTTCTTCCCCATGCTCCCTGTCCCTGCCTCAGTGGTATAGCCCCCTCTCCCCATGTACAGCTGTTTCCCTTAAGTGCCTATCATGTTTATGTGTGCCTAGGGCCATCACCCTCACTGGACTATGAGTTCCCTGAAGGTGAACACTGTGACTTGTGGTTATTCACCTCTCAGTTGTGGTCTCCCTACTCCACCTTCAGTGCCTAGCACAGTGCCTGGCAGGCAGCTTATGGTAACAAGAGTATATGGGTCACTAAATCAGCTTCACATCCCCAGTGAGCTGACGTAAGGTGCTTTGATGTGATGCACCGGGAAAGACAACACCACCCAAATGGTATTCCTACCAAAAGTGCTTAACCTCAGTATAATTATGAGGAAATAATTAGGTAAAGCCAAATAAAGAAGCATTTGACAAAAATCTGTTCTGAACTCCTAAAAAAATCGAAGTCTCAAAGAGAAAAAGTATGTTAAAGGACACTAAAAAGAAATGACAGTGAAATTTAATGTGTACACTTAATTGGATTCTGATTTTAAAAAATAGCTATAAAGGAAATTTTTGAGGCATTTGGGGGAATTTGATAATGGATTGCATATTAGAAAGTAATATTGGGTCTTTGTTAAGTTTCCTGAGTGTGTTACCCATTTTGTGGTTATGCAGGGTTAGGGTTGATGTGATATCACATCTGCAACTTTCAAATGATTCAGAAAAAATGTGTATATCACCCCATACACATGCACTGACACACAGAGAGAGATAAATATGGTAAAATGTTAATACTTGAATCTGGATAAAGAGTATATAGGTGTATTCTTGTAAATATATATAAGTTTGAAAATTTGCAAATTAAAGATGGGAAATAAAGTTTGGGTTTGGTATTATTAGGCCTAGTGGCTTTAAGTGGTTTTTTTTTTTTTTTCTGGTACTGGGAATCGAACTCACAACCTTGTGATGGCCAGGCAGGCGCTGTGCCGCTAAGCTAAATCCCCAGCCCATTTAAGTCTTAATTTAAACACTTCTCTCCTGCCCTTTTTTAGCTATGGGGTTTTGGGCAAATAATATACCACTCGCTAAGTAAAGAGAAACAGTATAAATAATGTGGCAGAAAATGCTCCTCCCCGCCCCCTGCAGCTAGTACAGTTTGTTAGTTGCCCAGGTTCCTGTTCCAGTTCCAGCCGCTTTGGTTCTCAAGATCTTTTTTTTTTCTTTTTGAGGCAGGGTCTCACTATGCAGTCCAGGTTGGCCAGGAGCTCACTTTGTAGCCCAGGCTGGTCTTGAACTTGCAACAATCCTCCTGTCTCAGTCTCCCGAGTGCGCCACCAGGCCTGGCTTTAGTTCTCTTAGAGTTGGTCACTGTGATCCATAGCTGGTCACTGTGATGCAGATTGTATAAACTAATTCCCAACTGACAAGCCATTCTGCCTCTGTACTTCCTGCTTGCTTATCCCATATAAGCCCTAGACCAGCAGAGATCAGGGCCTGATGTTTTGGGAATGATCCTGATCAGTGCCTGATGATGTAAATAAACCTGCCTCCAAATCCTGGGTGTTGTTTTGGTGTTTCTGCTTACCATTGCAATAGTACCTACCTCATCAGCTTATAAGGATAAAACAGGATGGTGAATGTAAGAGGCCAAGCCAGTGTTTTGCCATATAGTATGTGCTTAGTTAATGATACATACAGTTATGACCATATCTGTTGTCAGTATATGTTCACACAAAGTCATACATAGATGGAAAAGTTGGACTACTCCCACCTAAAAGGTGCTAGTGCAGTTGTGAAAAACCACAGAATGCCTCATTCTTATTTGAAAGACCCAAGACCTTTAGAATTGCCATTAAATCTGTCCTGGGGCAAAGATGGGGTCGAAGAAACCCAGTGGGGATAAGGTGTAGGATAGGCTAAGGTGGAAAGGACAAACGAGATCTGAGGAAATGAAGACACTGTGGCAAGGAGATAGATAAACTCTTGGGGACTGCAGGGAGTGGGGCATAGTGACTATCCTCTCCCTCTCCTGCTGCCTGTGGAAAAATCATTAGTTACTTTACCTACTCTGCCTTGTCCCCTCCTCAGAGAGCTTTTGTTCCTAACCCTGATCACTGGGTAGGCCCACGAGTCCCAAATCTAGAGTGGACACCAGATGCATGCAAGCCTGAGCCTCTATGTGTTTATCAATGTTCGTGGGAAAGAAGGGTTCCCAAGGAGGAAATCGAACCAGGAGCCAGATGGTAATTGCACTGAGAATTTTAATGAAAAGCTGATTTCTAATGTTGGCCAGTCAGTCACTGTGAGGGCTGGAGATGGGCACATTGGCCATTGGTAATTCTTACGGGAGCCTAGCCTTGCGTCTTTGCCTTGAAAGACATGCTGACTTCCTTCCTGGTCACTGAGCCATGGGCAAGATGAGAGGCCTGAAGCTGGGAGCCTAGAGATTGCGCATGGCCAAGGCAGGACCTTAACCACTCTTTTAGGCTTCAAGTAGGAGAAGATATTACCATTGCTGCCTTGTGATAGAATCCATGCCCTCCCAAGGATGAATGAGAGTAGGGATTGAGGAAAAGCTTCCTAAGTTGGTTAAGACTACAGCAAGCAGCAGCAGTTTCCACAAGGTCAAGTTCAGGCTGCTTCCTCTCCTAGCTCATCTCCAAAAAGTTGATATACTCTCGAACCCACTTCTTCTCTGGGTTGGCACACACCTGGCGGTTCTTTCGGGTAACAAATCTGTAGGAGAGAAGTTGAGACCTGTTAGCACTGGAACAGCCGGTTTGGGAGACTGAGGTATAAGGGAAATGGTGGTACTGGGGAGGGACACATTCAGAGCTCCTTAAGGTTTTATTTCTTTTTAGGGGAAAACATTATTTCTATTGAATCTAAAGGCTTTGGGGCTGAGGATATAGCTCAGCAGCACAAGCACCTGCCTGGTAAGCGCAAGGTCCTGAGTTTGAATCTTGGTACCAAATAAATACATATATAAGTAAATAAAAGCTTTAAGTGAGAGTCAAAAATTGTGTGCATTTTAACCTCCACACAAACACTTGCAGCCTGGAATTTGAAGGGGATCTGAAGCTTAACCACTCAGGCTTTCCCTGCTCCATGCCCTGTGCCAGGTGCTCAAGATGCAGAGAGAAGGAGCCAGGTATCTGTAATCCCAATACTTGGGTGACCAGGCAAGAGGATACTGAGTTCAAGGCCAGTTTAAGTTATATAGAGAATTCTTGGAGACTCTGTCTCAAAAAAAAAAAAATTGCACAGAGAAAAGATAGCCTCTAGGAACTGCACTGGCTGAGTAAGTGGGTGACGAGAAATTAAAGGAACATATGACTTGGCTTTAGACAGTTCTGTGCCTGGCACAGAATAGACACTCAACACATGAATACATGGGTGGATGAATGAAAGGAGATGAACTTGAGCCCTGGTTTCACTGCTTGTTAGTTGGATCACTGTGGACAAATCACTGAGGGCCTTTCACCTCTCAGCCTGTTTGCTATCCTTGAAGCTGTGGCTGGAACTCCTATTTTGCACAACTGTTGTGAAGCTCAAATCAGATATATATGAAGAAATTTGGAAAAGCACTCTCCGTGTATTGTTATTATTAGAATGCTGTGAAATTTCTGCATTCAGGTGACTGGAGCAATATGAAATCAAAGGTCCTGGTACTAGACCGTGGCCCACAGAGGTCAAAGGCCCTGAAATGTTGGCAGTAATAAAGCATTTCCACCAATTTACCAGCCAGAATGTGGAGGCCCCTGAGAGTTAGAGGCCTTATCTCTACAGGTATTGATGGAGAAAGAGCTTTACAGCCTAGGAAATATTAAAAATTGGGAGTCACAAGGGTCAGTCAGCTGCTTCCCCGCTTGTCTCCTGGGACACTGGTTCTGTCTAGGGGAGATCAGGAGGCTGGATAGCAACAGTGCTGCCATCAACACATTACTTCAGGCTTTAGCCCTGCCTACTGTGCCTTTCTCATTTTGGCTTCTTCTTTTTTTTGGTACCAGGCATCGAACTCACGACTTTGCACTTGCCAAGCAGGCGCTTGTGCCACTGAGCTATATCCCTAGCCCTTAGCTTTTTTTTTTACAATGTGTTTCATACACATTATTATTTTTTAAAATTGATCATTCATTTTGCTTAAGTTAGAATATCAGATTAAATATTTTAAAGGCTCTCATGGGAAGAAAGCTAGTTATTGTGCAGCTGTCTAGAAATTTATTTTTGAAATTCCACTGAGGTACAAAGTATACAACATTATTATATGGCCTGATAAAGGAATTATATATTCCTCACAGCACAGGGAATTTACAGTTCAGCCTTTGTTTTTAAATTACGATCATATTTTTAAAAATATAAGCTGAGTATGATAGTATACACTTATAATCCCAGTACTTGAGAGGCTGAGGCAGGAGGATTACTGTGAGTACAGATTTTTTTTTTTTTTTGGTACTGGGACTCAAACTTAGGACCTTGCACTTGCCAGGCAGGCATTTGTGTCACTGAGCTATATCCCCAGCTCTGTGAGTTCAAATTCAATCTGGGCTACATACTGAATTCAAGGCAAGCCTGAACTACATAGTGAGATTCTGTCTCAAAAAAATAAAAATAAATGTAATCTCTGTATTGGTGTATATATATTGGTGTATATGGTGTATATGCTATATCGGTGTATATGCTCAAATGTGTTCTGGGATCTATATACTCATCTCATTTAAACAACTTATTTAAAATACGACATCCTTGGTTTGATATTTTCATTCTTTATGCATGTAACAGCGTCCATCAAAGACACTAAGCTGTGTAGCTCTGATTCCACACCTAATAGCATTTAAATGAACTCTAAAAGAATTGTGGTAAAATAGCACAAAATATATCCCCTTAACCATTCTTAAGTCCATCCTTGACAGTAAATCTTTTCAGGCAAAGTGAAGGCATAGGTTGCCTGGTGAGAATGAGGAGTTCCCGATCGCCATTGCAGCCCTCACATGGACAGTGTTTACTTTCACGTAGCTGCTTTCACTTTCCTAGGCTGCACAGAGGCACCGGATCATTTGTGAGAGCTGTTTGACTGTCTTTCTCCCACCATGGTGTGCAGAGATGAGAAAGGGATCAGAAGGGCTCTGGTGCCTCCTAGTGTTTTAAAAAAAATTTATTTATTTTTATTTTTATTTTTGGAAGGCTGTAGGAGCTTCTGACATAGACCCTGTCCTAAGAGTGGCTATCCTCTCTCCTTAGCACCCTTGGTCTATAGCCAGGGAGTCGAAGCCCAGGAAACCAACACCTGAGATGAGAATTGCTCCACTTGCATTTCCTCCTTCCTGCAGCATATGGTACTGAAGGACAGATTGTCCTTGTCAAGTCTTCCTTCCCACTTGCCTGAATTCCCTCTTTCTACCTGCTCCTTAAGAGTAGGCTTCTCAAATCTTTTTTTCTCAGGTCTTTCTCTCTCGAATCAACCTCTCCCTCTCTTCCTCCCTCCCTCTCTCCTTCCTTCCTTCTCTCTCTTTTTCCCTCTCTCCCTTTCCCATTTTGTCTTGTTTTTTTTGAGACAGTCTCCACAGCTTCCTCTCTCTGCCTCCTTCCCTCTCCCTCCCCCTCTTGGTTTTTTGAGACAGAGTCTCCACAGAGTTCCAGGATGACCTCAAATTTGTGATCCTGACTCAGCCTCCCAGAATACAGGGATTATAGATGTGAACCACCACACCAGCTTTGCCTTTTCTCTTTTCTGTGTTCTTTCCCAGGTCTCTGGACCTAAGCCTGCTAATCATGCTTAATGAATGTTTATCCAGTAAGTGGATGAATAAATATATGAATGTTATCTAAGTTGCACCTATCACTTCTATGTATATAATAAGACATTTATATGATGATGATCATAAGTTAGCATTTATTTCATACCTATTATGTGCCAAGGAATAATGTAAGCATTTTATTATTTCCTCTGTGACCCAGTGAGAGAAGTGCTTCTGTTATCCAACTTTGCATGAGGAAATTGAGGCTCAGAGTGGGTGAGTGAGAGTCCCAAACTTACCAAGTGGCATAGCTGGGGTTCTAACATGGCAAGATAACGCTAGAGCCAGTGCTCAGCAAGATGATGCAACCTTGTATCTTTATTACTAGAAGGCCCTTCCTCTTACAAGAAAACATCATTTCCACAGGGGTGTTTTGGAGGCACCTTTGGGGCTTCCTCCTCCTCCTCTTCCTCCTCCTCCTTCACCTCCTTCTTTTCTGAGAAGGGTCTCATTAAGTAGCACAGGTGGGCCTCTAACTCTAGATCTGGCTTCTCCCCTTTAAACACGATTTATCCTCAGGTTTATGATGTTTCACGCTGCCACAGCCACGTGGCCTGAAACCTCGTGTAGCCTCGCCCCCTCTCTCCCTTGCTCTGGAAAATCCCACCTCTTAGGAGGCCTCACTCTTGTCTCTCCTCCAGGTACCATTGAGCCCCCAGTACTACACATGTGGGTAACTATGGCAGCCTCTTAACTGGACCCCTATTTTCTAGGATTTCCTTGTTCCAGTTCATTTTACACTTGAGAGCTTTGTCCTTTTGCTGAATTTTCCTGCAAAGCCCTCTGTGCTTTCCTGCATAATGTTCCATACAAACCAAAGTAGAATCCTGGAGACATTCTTTGCTTAGTAAACTCCACCCACACGTTTTTCTCTGCCAGTCCGGTTCTCTGTCACAAAGCACCTGTTGCAGCAACCTCTTCTAAATCCCCTCTCCTCACCTCTAAAGTTGGATGTGCTCTCTCTCTTCCTTTTGTAATTTTTTTTTGTTGTTGTTTGTTTTGTTTTTCTCTGGTACCGGGAACCGAACTCACGACGTTGCGCTTGCCAGGCAGGCGCTTTGCCGCTGAGCTAAATCCCCAGCCCCCTGTAATGTTCTTTTGCAGGGTGCTCTAGTTATTGCTGTGTCTGCCTGACTACTCTTATTAGACTGTGAGTGTAATGGTGGTTTTATTCATTTTTGTCTGCCCATAATAGGTGCTCATGGGAGGATATTTCCCTTTAGAAAATATTTATTTCTAGGAATGAAGTTAGTAGGCTAGAATGGTGGTGAATACCCATAAACCCAGAACTCTGAGAGGCTGAGGCAGGAGGATGGCAAGTTTGAGCCCAGACTGCGCAATTTAGTGACTTAGCACGAATTTGTCTCAAAATAAAAGACAGAGAGAGAGAGAGAGAGAGAGAGAGAGAGAGAGAGAGAGAGAGAGAGAGAGAGAGAAAGAAAAGGGGAGGCACTGGATATAGCTCAATGAGAAGGTCTGGGTTCAATCCCCAGTACTGAAAAAAAAAGTAATGCTAAATATTGCCACTATACTTTGAATGATTAATCAGGGCCCAAGTTCATCTCTGAATACCTATAACTTTTAAAATGTCATGAAAATGTTTGGATTAAAAATTTCATCCTTTTTATAGAAAACTTCTTAATTGCACCCTTTTAAAAATTTTTATTTTTATTTTATTTAGTTTAGTTTATTGGTACAATTTAGATATACATAATGATCACATTCATCATAGGGAATTTGTACCCGTATGTGATATATTTTGATTCCTCTTTTATTCCCCAATCCTTTCCCCTCCCTTCCCTTCAGCCCCTCTTATCCTCCATGTTTACCTTTGTTTCCATTTTATCTTTTTTTCCTTTTAAAATCACTTTTCTCCTTTTACCTTCCTTGTCTCTAATTCCTCTTTCCTTTGGACACTTTCTTCCTTTTGTTCTTTAACTCTCTATCATTTTAAATTTCTTAACCAACTGTCACTAATGAACCTGTTATACAATAGAAAGAGAAGGCTCCAGAAATAGGCTCCATCCCTCACTTACTGAGCAGCCCTGATAAATCAACAAATCTCCTTGAGTCTCACTTTTATCACCCAAGTCATGAAAAGAATTGTGCATACCGAGAGGGCAGTTATGTGGAATGTACAGATCATCCACATGAGACATCTGACACTTTCTACGTAGTGAGGGCTACTCTATTTTTCCAAATATATTGGCTTGCATATTTAAAGGTGAATCTCATTTTCTTCTCAGATGGATAGGTTTTGTTTTGTTGTATTTGACTGCAAGTAGGGCCCTGACCTCTGGACTGCTCCTTACTAATTCCTCTGAGGTTTAGGTGGATTTGACTGAGTGTGGAATATGGGAGACTTTAGGGTTCTCAACTAGAAAGCAGTGTTCAAGTGAAAGCCACACTGGCAGAGTGAGTCCTAGGGACCTAGTCTGTTGGAATGGGCAGGATCCTCCAAGGATGCCTGTCTAGTCATTTTACATTACAGACAGGGACTCTGAGGCTAGAGATGGAGGAGCTGTAGTGATTTAAGTAGCTGGAGAATAGGTAGGAGTGGGTGGGCAGCTTCTCAGAGGGCTTCTGAGGGAGGACTAGCTCTGGGAGCCCGAGGTGACCCCCCACCCCAGGAATCCATGGGGCTGAGACTCACACGACTGCTAAGTTGGAGCACTTGCTGCTGGTGTAGAAGTATTCCTTGATGTGGGTGCGGGGCAGTGACCGGGAGATGTAGGCAAAGCAGCAAGGGGTGGTGTCTGAGGCATCTGGGAGAACAAAAAACAGGAAGATCTCTTTATTGAGTGCCAGTGACACTGGGCGCTGTGCTGGGTACTTGACATGATTTATCTTGAAAGGTCTTTTATCCACATTGGCAGAAACTGAGGCATGAGAGATAAAGTCACTTGACCACGGACACACAGTGGCAGAGCGGGGATTCCAACAGAAGCCTGACAGAATCTCCCCAACCTCCCATCTAATACCTGAGCTAAACTTATATCCTTCCCTCTGCACCATAACCCCCGGCCCGCAGCTCTTAGGATGTGCTCCCTTCCTAGGCAGGGTCAGTTGCTTTTCAAGTTTACTAATATTCCCAGCATCAGCCCCCACTCAGTGAACACCTGCAGGGTCAGGGGTATGGACCTTGGAGACACAGAAAAGCTGAGGTGTGTGTGTGTGTGTGTGTGTGTGTGGGGTCCCTGACATAAAGCAGCTTAGAGATCTATCAGGATCAACAGGACATTTGGGTAAAACAGTCCATAAGAATGTAAATAATGCTGTTCAGATGGTATAAATGCTACAGTGGGAAAGAGAGCGAAGTCTGACCCCGCAGGATGAGTTGGGCATTTTAGGCAGAAGGTCAACTGACGCCATGGGCTATGTGGCCAGGACCTGAACTTACATGGGGAGGCAGAGGCAGGAACACAGAGGGCAGCAGCAGTGAGGATGACAGAGAGGGCAGCTACGGAGGCCTTCATGGTACTTGCAGGCAGGAGCTGTGGCAGCTGCAGGTGCTGTCTCAGGATCCTCTGCAGGGATCTTCTGCAGCTTGGCCTGGCCCTTTATAGGGAGCCAGGGCCAGTAGACAGAGCGCCCCCTCAAGGGGAGTTTCTGAAAAAGCAAGCAAGCATTGGCTGTGAAATTGCACAAAATGGAGGGCTAAATCTGAAATAGCTTGGAAACTGAAATTGCCTCCGGAAATTCCAGTCTACTCACTGTTGTCCCAGCTAGAGTGAGCTCATTCCCTTTGTCCAAAGCACCAGGGTAAAAATACTTCTTCCTCTGTTGGTACCCTCAGCTTCACCTCCTAGGGGAGGGTCCCCCCCAGAGACCAGGAAGTTGCTGCTAGGAGTGAGGCGGGGTCAGAGCCACAGCGTCTTTATTTTATTTTATTTTTTTAAAGTTCCAGCTTGTGCCTCCCTTCTCTCATTCATGGAAGGGTGCTTTTCACAAGGTGTTTTAATGAGGGGGGTCCTTTAGACATAGAGTCCTTCAGGGAGGGAGGTGAAAGTACCCGTTTGACGACTGCAGCAGTGGAGTTGAGCTGGGCCCTCGGGGGCCTTTTCACCAGTATGAGTTGAAGCGATTCCTTTGAGGGTAGGTTCTCACTTTCGTCACCTCCAGGGGGTCACCCCATCACTTCTGTTCATCTGCTGAGGGAGCTTTGGGGAAATTCCTTAATGTCTTTGAGTGAGTTCTATTTCTTTGTTTATCAAGTGGGATAATTAGATGAGAGAGAGAGGAGAGAGAGAGAGAAATCGATCTTACAACACCCTACCATTATTAGTCATACATACTGAGGGCTTAGTTGTGGCCGTCACTACGCTATGGGCATGGCATAGGTTGGCTCACTTATTATTCTCCCTGTTTTATAGATCAGAAAACTCAGTAAATGCTGAGGTCCCGTATCATTTCTGAGGTCTTCTTGGGCACAGAAGTTTCAGAATATTAAAGCTGCCAAGCACCGGAAGGATCATTTTTCTCCACGTTCTTTAGTTGCAGAGGAGGACACCGAGGCTCAGAGGGCAGGAATGACTTGCTGAGGACACACAGCACATAGAGAAGAGCTGGGATCAGAATCCAGCTGCTCTGGCTCCCACTTCAGTGCTCTGTCCAGTAAATACAGCTTGATAGGAAAGGTGTTACAGTTGGGAACATTTTCAAAACTGAACTGGTGTAGAACCCCTGAGCTAAAGGTGGCATCCTTACCCCACTGCAAAGAATTGAACACAGTAAATCTCCCTCAATTCCTGTTTGCGTAGTTCAGAGTTAGTGACAGTTCAGCCTGGACGGGGCTGCAGTGGGCTTCTGAATAAAAGAGTGTATCGACAAATACAAGAACAGTCTGAAGAAGTGTAGCCCTATATTAAGAACATTGTCTTCCTAGCTACTGTCACATATGTAACTTAGTGGCTGAGAGGGACTAAGTTACATAGGATGGGAAGACCTTGTCGCATTTCTTCCTCACAGTGACTCTGGAGAGTGGCTGTTAGCCTCACTTTACAGAAGAGGAAACTGGGCCTCAAAGAGGTTGTTAACATCTTCCTGGTCACTGAGCCCAGGGATTTCTGATGCCCACGCCGCGCCTTTCTGTTAGTAAGGCACACAGTTATCCAGGTCTTCCAAGGGGCCAGGTGCATTCCTAAGCCCTTTTAGAACAGTTCTCTCATTCCCTTCTCTCAGCTCATTCCTTAACAGTGGGAAGAATGAGTTCAGTGGAAACATAATTTTGGAAACATAACTTTGAAGCAGTAGAAACATAACTTGGGAAAGCATGGCCATCTCATTTAATGAGACAAATTACAAACATTTTCGAAACAATCATCCATTCATATAAAAATTTTGTGCCTCTAAAGCTGTTTCCTTTGGTCTAACTGAAGTTAACCGAACATGTGGGAGGCTGTGGTTAATGTAATGATTAAGAATAGGCACTTAGCGGCTTTTCGTGTTTATTACTCATGTATCCTTGAACAGCTCAAGATCTCCAGTTTTAGTTCCTTCATCTATAAATCAGAGATAATAATGCTCTTGTACAATTATATTCCTACAAATGTGTGCAGCTTGTAAAGATCTTAGTACAATTCTTACTTGCTAATAACATTAGCTATTATTATCAATTTATTAGGAACAAGGAGATGGTAGAAACTTTAAGGATATTCCATGCTTTAGTATTTTTGGCAATATAAATCAGACCCCAGTTACTAGAAATTAGTGAACTTTATAAAAATCATCATTAAAAATGTCCTTTTTTAGGCTGGGTGTGGTGGCACACATCTATAATTCCAGCACTCAGGAGGCTGAGGCAGGAGGATCACTGCGAGTTCAAGGCTAACTTGGGCTATATAATGAGTTCAAGGCCAGTCTGAATGACACAGTGAGACCCTGTCCTCCCAAAAATGTCCTTTTTAAACAGTCACTCAGTTGAGGCTTAGAGAGGGTAAGTGACTAGCTCAAGGCCATAATCTACAGTGCTAAACTTCAACACTGAACCCGTTGTCGCTTTTTACCACACTGCTGTTCCTAGAGAAATCCTGAAACTCTTGGAAAGGTTCAGTTTCCCTGTGAGCTCTGTATCTATTTCCTTTCCTGATCTCAGCTTCTCTCTTGAAAGGAGAAAGGAAAGTATATTTCTGCATATCAGATATGCTGAGTTGGGACACTAGCTGAGGACAGATGCCAGCACGCCCATAGTTGAGGCCAGAAACACACGTGCTCCTCATCTGTAAATCCCAGGGAACCTTTCCACTGTGTGTGCGCATCTGTCTGGCTTTGAGTGGTGGTGAGGGTGGGGACAGGACGGGGTGGGATGGCTGCTGAGCAGGAATAGGCAAAGGGAGAGTCAGGAATAATCGCCTTCCCTTTCACTGATTTCAGTGGGTAGTGAGGAGGAGCAGAGAAAGATGAAGAACCTAATTTTTATTCAGTTCCTTTCTTCCTGTGCAAAATCAGCACTTAGACTGGACTGAGCAAGCTACCTTTGAGTTACTGACTCCAATGTTTTGATTTCTTGAACAAATCAGAGAGTCCAGGGAAACAGGATGGAACCCGGTCCGGGTGAGGGTTCAATGGGTGGCACAACTATCATCAGCTCTCTAGGTATATTCACCTTATCCACTGCAACTTTGTACACTTTGACCATTGTGTCCCCATTTCCCTCACCTCCCTGCCCCTGGTAACCGTAGTTCTATTCTTTGCTTCCATTTATGTAACTTTTTCTTTGTTTGTACTACTGGGGATTGAACCCAGGGTCTCACTCATGCTAAGCAAGGAGCAACATCCCCATTCCTTCTTAAAATTTTATTTTGAGACAGAGCTTTAGTAAATTGCCTAGGCTGGTGTTGTGTCATTTCTGGTATGAACTAAATACTTTAGTTTTTTTTTTTTTTTTCGTCTTTTGGAGACAGGGTCTCATTAGGCAATTCAGGCTGACCTTGAGCTCACTTTGTAGCCCAGGCTGGTCTCGAACTTGCAACAGTCCTCCTACCTCAGCCTCCTGAGTGCTGGGATTACAGACATATGCCACCATGCTCGGTACAAAGTAGATACTTGAAAAACAATTCTTTCCACAAATTTCCAACATTTTCCCCCTTGGTGTCCTCTGCATCCCTATAAACATGCTTATCTCAGCTAAGAATCAGGAAGTGTCGGGGTGAGGGAGAGGAGTGGACAGTGATTTTCCACAAGCTGTCATGCACCACTCAAGACTTTTGAAGCATTATTTCATTTACTAGGAAGAAACAGAAACTGGTGATGACTCAGAGCTTCCCTGAGTTCTTTTTCCCTCTGTGCAACAGACTTCTGACACTCAGCCCCGTGCTCTGTTCTTCCCTGGATTTCTCTCTCAGAGCCTGGCCATGGAGTGAGACACGGTCCCTCAGTCCTCCTGCCTCTGCCTCCCAAGCAGCGGAAATTACAGGCGTGCACCACCATACCAAACCATATGTTGAACTTCTATTAAGATTCTATGTATAAGTGAGATGGTACAGTATTATTCTTTGTGTGTCTGGCTCTCTATTGCTTATTATTGATGACTTTGAGGAAGTTGCTTACTTTCTTTGGACCTATGTTTCCTCATTTGTAAGGTAAGACATTGGCTCCAACCTGTTCTGGGTAATGGAGCCATTTAAGAATCTGAGGAATGCTGTGAAAATTTTCTGTCAAGAAGTTGAGAGCTGCTTGTCATTTTGCATAGATAGTGTTCACAGACCTGGCAGGCTCACTGACGGGCCTCAAGAATCTCCTGGCTCCTCAGTTAGCCCTTCATTCCTGGGTACCCCTTTTCCGTAAGAGTCGCTAAAGCTGGGCGCACATCCCCTCCAGCTGAGTTTGGCTCTGCTCCCCTCTTGCCCTGGCCTGTGTTTGTTTTTCCCCTGTTAGTTATGTTTTTCCTAAGCTAAGGTAGCTTCCACCCAAGTCTTAAGGTGACATTAGGAAACCAAATGCAGGCAGGGAAAGTGAAACCTTATTGCATTTGGATTCTGGTGTTTTAGTCAGACATGGAGTTTCCTCATGACTGTGTGTGGGCAGAGGAGGGCGCAGCTCTGGCTTTTCTGCTCTTAATAAAATGCCTAAAGCAAGGAAAGTCCCCAGTCTCTAGGAATCTGGGCCCTCAAGAGAAGCTAGAGGATCAAATCCCATCCGCGACTCCTGCTACTGCACCCTGTCCCTGCCTTTTGGTCCAGCTCTGGCCTGTTCTTTCTGTGTTACCCGATTCTGCCTCTTTCCTTCCTCTTCCTGTGTTCCCCTCCCTGTCATGACTGTGTCTTTTACTAGGTCAGGGGCACTGACTTTAACAACTGCGCTCATGGTTCCCACCACATTCAGGCTCGGGGGTTGCAGCTTGGCCTCCCCCACTGTTCTCACCTTCACCACACAGGACACTGACTGTGTGCGCCCACTTGTTTTCTGCAGCTGGAGACCGCATGTGGCGTGTTTGTTGATGGGAACTGTGCTCATCCGCCTTGGGTTACTGCAGGAGCCCACCACACGGTACCTTAGGGGGTGAGGTGGTCATGAGAGAGAGCCCTGGGAGGGGGGAAGCATTTCTCCTTCTGAAATTGCTGGCTGACACATGACTTTAGGACCTACTTCTCACACAGAGGGGTCCTTTTATTTGTTATTTTCTTCTGCATATTTGTTGGAAGCTTCCCCTTTCTTTGTGCATACTCCTTCATGACATCCCCTATCCTTCACTCTTGAAGGACCTCTTATGGTCAGAGCACTGCCTCTCACTTCTGCTGTCTCTGGTCCCCAGCTGAAAGCTCGGTGAAGTAGGACAAACTTGAGACTGAAATCAGACTCGCTGTCT